GAAAAACATTAAAAATTTTCTATTTGACATGAAACTCCGTTGAACTTAGTTAAGAAAACACAATCTGTACAATATGAACACCTTCATGCAGTAAACACGTAGCCGGCAGTCTCATTGGTATTTATAGTGAAATTCTAACACAAATTGTTAGCATTCACGAGAAGGACAAATTCGAATAAATAGAAAAAGATTGTCTATGGATAAATTTCTTTATAATTACTAATAATTCCATGACTTTCAAATGTTTTAGTTTCTAAATTGTATGTAAATTTTGCCACACAACAATAGGGTGTAGAGTGTATGCTTTTACCACTGGTACATAAATGACTTTTACTTAAATTACGCATTGCTTCACGGTGTGTAATACATACTACTTCGCTGTTCGCTCCTGATAATAAACATAATCTAATTATACAGTCTATAAATGTATCTGTATCAATCCACTCATATTCAACTAATTTAATAGAAGGACATAATGCGACAATATCTGATTCTGATAAAAAAGATGATTGTTGTAATAATACATTCCCTGATGAAAATGCTGCTGCACAATGTGCTAATCCTGGTACTAATTCTATGGAACTATTTAAACAATTAGCTATTTCAGCTGCAGTTTGTACAGTTCTTGATAAAGGGCTAACATGTAAAATTGGTGGTAATTTTTTTAATATAGTTTTCAAATATATTGCAGTATTATATGCTTGCGTTTTACCTACTTCAGTTAAAGGAGGATTATACCATTGCTCCCCACAATTCTCACGGAATGTATTACCACGTACTTCATCAAGGCGTTCACCATGTCGGACTAAATATAATGTTACAGTGCCAGTTTGTCTAATTTCACTTAGCTTTTTTAATGCTAATGTAGTATCTTTTGTGTTTAATGAATTAATAATTCTTGTTTCAGTAACAACTGTTGTCATTTTCGGTTCTTCTTTATTTTCATCCTGTTCAAATTCGATTTCTGCATCTCGTTGCTTCATCATTCTAATTAAAATGGCTCGCAAACTCATTTTTTGATCAGAAGAATAATTCAGTATCCACAATTATTAATGAAAGATGGACGTACTTTTCTTTTCAAGTTGAATAAGGAAAAAATCTAAAACTAAAATATTCATTAAAACTTAAATACAATAACCAATTTTTGTTGAGGAAAATGTAATAATTTGAACTAGGTTAGGTACGAGTAGTAGTAGTAGTAGTAGTAGTAGTAGTAGTATCGATATCAAGATTGTAATTAATCATAAGACAAGTTCCAAATTTGATTTTTGTTCTGGGTAATTTATATAATCACACACATCTGTAATGATGCAATGGAATATTCAAACTATTTCGAAAGAAAAAACATATGGGGAGACGAAAAACATGAGTCAGCGTAAAACACGAAAGCAAAAGAACAATAACGTCTGCAAGTTATTATATCTATATTATGTCATGGTGGTGGAGAAAGAGAACGAAAAATGCTGAAATTCAGCTGACGTCATAAACGTGGGATACAAAGATAAGAGTATTAGTAAATAGGAATTTGGATACACTGCTGTAAGACGACCCGGATTCGACTAGTTGATAAGTTGAATTACTGACCACTAGTCATGCTCTCTCGTTGTGTAGTTCTGAACCATCCACTTGCCATTCGATTGTGAGAGCGGGTATGTATCGTCGAGTTGAAGTCCAGTATTGTAGAAAGTTATGAAAGTTGGACTAGTAGATTTTATTGTGTTTCAAAAAACAATGGAGATTATTTACATTAATAGTTAGTTGAAGGTGAGGGTGGGACAATTTCCGTTGTTCAGGTACGGTATCAAATTTCCTTGGGGTCCCGGGATCGGTACCTGGTGACTATTAGTAACCTCGGAAACGGGTGGATTATGATAATGTATAGATAATGATAGTAATGCTTGGTTTTGAAAAAGAGTTCAAGAACCTAGTGATAATCGAGTTGTATGATAATTAGGGTTTCCCGGCAGTTTATATTTTATTTATAAGAAATCTAAACAAATTAGAATTTAGAGAACTCTATGATTTTTCGAAAGAGTTTCTAGAACACCTATGGGCAAAAACATGGTTTTCCACTTTTTTTCTGTCTTATAATCGCGTCTCGTAGACAAACTTAATCAGATCATGAAGTTTTCAATTTGTTGTGATGTTTTTTGAGTAAAATCTGAATTTTTTGTATTAGATGAAAACAGGCGGGAAACCCTAATTATCGTACGACTCGATTATCACTAGGTTCTTGAACTCTTTTCCAAAACCAAGCATTACCATCATTATTCTATACAATATCATAATCCACCCGTTACAAATAGTCATCAGATACAGAACACTCTGAACTATCAACCTATGAAAAGGAATGAATATAATCCTATCGGAAGTTTCTGAGACGCGGCCAGGTTTTCCAAAAATCTCCTACAAAAATCTGTTTCAAAAAAGTTCTGGGAACAATTTCTGCTTAAGGAAAGATTCCCCAATTCTCCTTCTTCGAATGCCGAAAACCAAGGGTCTCCAGCTACTTTTTGTCGAAAGTTATTCAACTAGCTACTGGGCTCTTAATTTGAAAGAGATGATACTGTTTTCGCACTAGGCCCTAGAGTGTTAGATTCTGATTCGCCATGGTTAATTACCTATATGGGTACATTTTTAATGTATTAGTTAAGCAAAAAGGAATGCATAAAACCTTGGTCATTTGACACCGCGTGATTCTGTAACGGTAATATTTTAGCTATTTAAGCGTTAATTTCGGAACTACAACAAAATTCCTCTTTTTTCAGTCGATAGCCCAAGGACTTTTCTACAACATTGCCAGCAAAAGTTTTCACGTAAAGAATAGGGATTAGCTAAGTTTTCGACAACTTTAAGTTGTCTCGGAATGACTGCTGCATCCCAAGCATCAAAAAAAAACTCTAGTATCGCCCGATTCATCTAGATTACTAGATTTTTACTCGATTGCAAGTACTGTGTAACGACAGTAGAAATCTAGTAATTGGGCGATTACTAGATTTTTTCTAGTTGCAACTATAGATTTATCGCCCGATAATCGATCGATTTAACTATTACTAGATGCACCTGCAGACGCATCTAGTTAAAAGTCCCTTTTCCAACTAGTAATCTAGATGGCAACTGGTCGTGCATCGCCCGATTACAGACGAAATGTATCTAGATTTTTCCCGTAGGTGGCATTTGCTTGGGATTTCTGCTGATTCCGTAACGGTCGATATTTTTCT